GATTTTAAAATAAACCGGTGACTTGGGACACCATAATAATTATCCCAAGTGGCGACTCTGATTCGATAAATAATCTTATTTCGAATAATGTCAATTTAATTGGAAAAACTCTCATATCCCCTCGGAAAAAAAGGTTTGACAATTATTAATTAAACATAAAAATGTAACAATCTTGGTGATAATTTTGCAACTTCACTCTACATTTTTTAATTCGATAAACAATAACAAACTCAATTTAATTTTACAAGTGAAATTTGGGAATAATGGTGTATACACACTTATTTTTATTTTGTAGAGATAAAAAGGTATTTTCGATAAGCCTCTCAAGAAAAAATAAAATATAATTAATAGCAATAAGTATAATAATAAGATAATGAGAGCAAAGAGGAAGACGTAGTAATAGAAAATGAGAGGTGAGAACAAAAATTTAGCCCAGCCGCAATAGGGAGAAGGTAAGCAGAACGTGCGGAGAAGAAGTGTGAAAAACGCTCCCAAAATTTGCTATTGGGTCTTTCTCTCGTGTTTGTTGTTTGTTGTTTGTTGTTTGTTTGTTTGGTTGTTTTCTATTTCTTTCAAACCCTTTTCCCCTTTATTTCCACTTTACGTTGAATCAGCGGAGACGCATAAAGGAAGTTGGAGAGAGAAAGCACATATATATGTACAACACTCAGATATTTTTAGCATTTTCCGATCGCACTTTTCTTCTTCTCTTCTTCCTCCTCAAACTTAGGGTTTCTTCTCTTCACTTCTTTCATTGTATGTATCTTCACTTCCCTCTCTCTCTTTAACTTTCTCATGCTTCAGATGTCTATTCCTTATTTTATTTGTTTTGGTTTTTATCTGAATTCTATGTGTTTTGATGTGTATCTCTTGTAAAGATTGCTGTTTTCTGTTGTACGTTTTTTAAAAAGCAGAGTTTTGGTTCATTTTCTTTGTTTTTTTTAAATTTTAATCTCAATTCTATGTGGTTACATGTGCTAATTCAGCAATTATTTTGTTTTTGCTGTTTCTTTTTTTTTGAAAGCCAGAATCTTTTTTGCATTTTCCTTTGTTGTTGTTGGGTTGGAATGTTTTTTCGTTTTCTCGTTTTTATCTGAAAATGTGCTTATTTTGCAGTGCTTTTCGTTTTTGCTGTCTTGGGGTTTTTTAAAGTAGAATTTTGGCTGCATTTTATCTGTTTCTCTTGCTTTGTCTTTGAAAGAAGAATTCTTTTTTGTTTCACTTTATTTGATTGGATTCTATGTGGGTTTGATGTTTCTATTATTATGCAATCATTTGTTTTTTTTTTCTTTTGCTGTTTTGGTTCTCCGAAATGCAGAATATTGGTTGCATTTTCTCTATTTCTGTTGGTTAGGTTGCATTTTCTGGATATCAGTAGTTGTGCATGTTTTACATGCTCGATCAGTTGTAAGATCACCATTTTGGTGTTTGAATATTATTGTCCTGCATGTAAAATTTGAATATGTTTGCTGATGTTCTTTTTTTCTTGTTTTGATTTGTTATGAAATATCATCAGGCTTGAGAGTTGATTTGATGTTGACGAAAATTGTTAGCTTTTTAGTGGAATTCTGGTGCTAGGAAGGAGAAATAACTTGCATTTGAGGGTTTCTTAACCTATCCCTGTTGAAAAAAAGGTTAGCTGAATTTTGTGTTGGTAGAAAGGACTTGTGGGAAGGTATTGGGTTTTGATTTCTGGGTATTTTGACTATGCCAACATCGTGGGCTGATTCGGTTTCTGCAGCCGAGAATCTGGCTGCTGCTGCTCCCCCAAAGTCCGCATATGTTCCACCACATCTTAGAAATAGACCTGCTTCAACTGATCCTCCTGCACAGGCTTCCTATGCTGGGGCTGCTGCATCTGGTCAGGGCCAAAGTGGTTATGGTGGCCCAAATGTAGGTGGAAGTCGTTGGAGTGGTCCTAGGAATGATTTCCAATCTGGTTATGGTGGTGGAGGAGGCCGTGGCGGGGGCTGGAATAGCAGAACAGGTGGTTGGGATCGGGGGAGGGAACGGGAAGCTAACCCCTTTGCAGATGATGATGCTGAACCCTTTGTTGAACCAGAGAATTCTGGGATCAACTTTGATGCGTACGAGGATATTCCTGTGGAGACAAGTGGGGATAATGTGCCCCCTCCTGTGAACACTTTTGCTGAGATTGATTTAGGTGAAGCTGTAAACCAAAATATCAGGAGATGCAAGTATGTTAAGCCAACCCCTGTGCAACGGCATGCTATACCAATTGTACTCTCTGGTAAAGATTTGATGGCTTGTGCTCAGACTGGTTCTGGCAAAACTGCTGCTTTCTGCTTCCCCATCATAAGCGGAATCATGCGGGGGCAATTTCCAAGACCTCCATGTCCGCGGGTGGCATTTCCACTGGCTCTTATTCTTTCTCCGACAAGGGAGCTCTCATGCCAAGTAAGTTTATGGGGCTTGTTGGTCTATGCACTCAAAAGGGCGGGGGAAAGAAGAACAATTTGGTTTTTTTGGACTATGCTGTATGGTTTGATTTTCAAAAAAGTTATTGAATGTCATGTTTTGGCTTGTAGATCCATGATGAAGCTAAGAAATTCGCATATCAAACTGGTGTCAGGGTGGTTGTTGCTTATGGTGGTGCTCCCATAAACCAACAGGTTGTATTTCTTCTCTTCTTTGCTTGGTGCTTTCACTTTTTGCCTATTCTATTCAGCTGAGATCGTTCTGTGGCATCTATTTGGATTTTCATGCAAGCGCATTATTTGTTATGCCCTTGTTGCTCAATTACCTACAGTTCTCTTGGTTATTTGGTTTCTAAAGAAGACAGGACTATACTTGTGTCCTACACTCGAGACGTTGTCCTGGAGATTCCTCTACAGTGATAAAGGATACAAGTTTTTACGTTGATTGGGGATAAAGCCATCGGTCATAGGCCAGTTTTACCATTTCTATGTTGAGGCTGTTTGAACTTCTCATGCCTATCAGAGAGATCATTTTTTTGTGTAAGAAGAACATTGTTTTCATTGAAGCTCGATCTTGCCTGCACTTGTCATATTTTTGCACCTGCTTTATCTTTCCCTATTTTGTTTGATGTCTTACAGAAGTTGTACACGTGTGAAATTGGCCTTCAATTCAGTGAATTTTATCTTTCAGCAAGAGGTTCTTTCTAGTCTAATTACATGACAATTTTTGAATGGTTTACAAGATAGTGAATATGCAAATTGTTGTATGGTTTCACGCATGCATTATGAGAGAGAGAGACTTCATATGTGCCCAATAAATATATTAAAATGTCTATCATCATTAAAAGCAGTTCAGAGTTGCTTATAGATGTTTTTGGGGCGTGTCAGCTTCGAGAACTAGAGAGAGGAGTGCATATTCTTGTGGCAACACCTGGACGATTGGTTGATTTACTTGAGAGAGCTAGAGTCTCGTTACAGATGATAAGGTACTTGGCTTTAGATGAGGCAGATCGAATGCTTGATATGGGTTTTGAACCTCAAATAAGGAAAATTGTGCAACAAATGGACATGCCTCCATCAGGTGCAAGACAGACAATGCTATTCAGTGCCACTTTTCCCAAAGAGATTCAGGTCAGTTCTCTGTTTGGACGGGCTCTTTGCCTTTCAACCTATTCTCTCTCTTTTAACCTTTTTAAAATTAAAAGTTTAAATCTTGATCATCCTGTAGACTTATATTTTTGAATTTAAAGCAGGATATGCCTCTTGCTGCCACAATATTTATTTACATTGTTCTCGAGCTGACCTGAGTTTTTCTGTTTCTCCTCGGTTGTTTTTTGCCTATATCTACGCTCAATTAATAGCATAAGGAGTGAGTTGGTATGATCAATGTGAATATACATTTTTTGTGACAAGTTTGCTACTTCCATATTGCAGAGACTGGCATTGGATTTTCTTTCAAATTATATCTTTTTGGCCGTGGGAAGGGTTGGCTCTAGTACTGATCTGATTGTCCAAAGAGTTGAATACGTTCAGGAGACTGACAAGAGAAGCCACTTGATGGATCTCCTTCATGCACAGAGGGCAAATGGTGCTCATGGCAAGGTATTAGCCATCTGTTATTCGATTTGACTTAATTATTGGTGTTTATTAGGTAGGCTGAGCAATAGAATGCGGTTCCGGCCTGTAAGTATACATTCTGAACCTTCCGTTTCATTGTTAGTTGGTGGCAAAGCATTCATAGTGGAAGTTAGGTACTTGCCTGTATTCTTCTGAAGTATTGCCTTGTTCTATATAGGGGTTTTCAGGATTGGAGACTATATCTGTATCTTTAATAGAGAACCTGAGAATTTCAAAACTAATTGTGTTGTCTAATGTGATAATTCTTGGAATTTAGTCATTTATTGATGGTGATGCTAATGACAGGCCAAAGTTTGAGAAATTAGAGGTAGAACAGTCTAAAGATTAATGAAGATGTTAAAGCAGATAGTTGTTGGACAAGTGAGGCTTGCTCAGTTGGTAAAAGCACCTCCACCTACGACCGTTAGGTCCTGGGTTC